TAACAACGCAATATTTGGTGACACATAAATGTTCAGACGAACCACTTCAATAGCTCGTTACGTCTCCCTTTGCATTAATTCTTTCTTGCATAATTTTAACAAGGTTTTCGCAGTCTTCCACCTTAAAAGAATGCCATATATTTTATAATTTTACTCGTAAATCAAAAAAAATTTCTTAACTGCTGCTTCATTTTGTAAGATACAGTTTCGATGATATTTAAATCAGGACTACTGGAAGGCCAGTCAAGGACAGAAATATTATTATCCTGCAACCATTTTTTCGAGATTTTGGCCGTATGACATGGCGCACTATCTTGTTGAAAAATGAAGTGTCTATCAGGTGCATCATGTACAGTAAACCTGATGGAAACTTTACTTTCATCTTTAGGCAGTATTTATGAAACGCTTCATTTTTGTGTCTTATAATCCGGATCGGTGGTTACCCACAAAAACATCAAATTTCGATTCATCGCTAAAAATGATCTTTTTCCAGTCTTTGTAAGTCCACATTCCCCTTCCTTAGTCCACGTTGATCGCCTTTTCTTTTGATTTTCCGTAAGCAACTGCTTTTGTTTTGCGTAAAGCAAAGATTTTACTGAATACATATGCCATATGTACATATGCAACAACGTACCTTATAAAAATGTAAACCAGACTTAGGAATCCACCGACGGCACGTTTCTCGTGAAACATTTCCTGCTGTTTCTTCATTCCATTTTGCTGTTATGTCCCTTACAGTACCTTGACGACCAGCTTTACAAATACGAATAAGATATCTTTGCGTTCTAGGACTCATCTTACATGGCCTACCAACACCGTGACTTGAAACTTGAGTTGAACATGTGTCTCCATACTTTTTTACAATATCTGCCACCGTAGACTTTGCGATATTTATTATGTTTTAGCAATATGCCGAAAACTATTTCCTTGATGAAACAATTTTATGATTAAAACTCTGATTGCACCGTTTGTTGCTTCACCACACGACATTTTAAAGGAAATTGATTTACAGAATTGATTCTTAAAGCAAAACGTCAAATTGTAAACACTGTTTTGTTTCCATGGTCTGCTATTATTTTCTTTTTAATATCGTATCCGAACATTTATGTGTCAACAAAATGTTGCGTTGTTGTCAAAATTAGTATGATTTTATATTTTAATATCATATTACTTGAAAACAGTTTTGTTAATATGATGTGCAAACAATACATTTGTATTTTATTGTCTTATAAAAAAAATAATTTTTAAGTTTACAAAAATAAACAAACTTTTAGATAAAATTAGATAATATCCGAACATTATTGTGTCAGAGCTCGTGGTATGGTGCAAACACATAAATATTGTTATTGTAAACTTTTAGAAAATTCTAGTCATTGCAAATAATATATGTAGCCGGAAATGCTGCGGCAAGCAAAGCATCTATAAGTCAACGCCAAACAAAGTGGCGTGCACGTCATCAAGGTGGGTGTGTTGAAAAATTTACATTGTTGCCAAACTTTTTGTAAAATAATAAAATTTATTATTTACATATCTAGGTTTATAAGCAATATTAACCTCAAATGAGAACAAAAATAATAGTATAATAAAATTATAGATCTGTACTTGCATAATCATTAAGTATGACAATTATTGATCAGATGACACTATGAAACTACCATATTTAATTGATAGCTTAAAGGTACTGAATAAAAATCCAAATGGGGTCCTCCAAATTTTATGCATGGTATTTATTTTACAGAATTCATGCAGAAAAAATGCATTCTAAAATTAGGTAAGCTACTGGTGTAAGCTTTTTCTGTACAATAAAGTTAGTCGGAGTTTCTTTCTTCAGCGCTGTCTGAATCTGAATCTTCATCACTCTCAAAGTTGATTATTAAAGGTTCGATGTCTGGTCGATCAAAAATTCGTTCTCTTTCATACCATTTAAAAATTTCTTGCTCAGTATGTCGAACACTATTTTTCCACATGTCTGGGGTAACCGTTTGTAGAGCCTCGTTCCACATATCCAAACAGTCTTTTTCACTGTTACCATCTCTACCAATATGTCTGTTATAGTAACCTTTTGCTATGCCCCAAATTGACTCAATAGGGTTAAATATACAATGGTAAGGAGGCAGACGAAGAACTTTGTGCCCATGTTGTTCCGCCAATTCATCAATCACGTATATTTTAGGTGGTTTGTTTCTAAAAAAGCAGTTATTTTAAGAATAGGAATAAACAAAAGAAATATAAACTGTCGACCAAAATATATATAATTAAGAAGCATTATGTACCGAGCAACAATACTCAATAGCTCTGTTTTAAACATTGTGTTTAAAAATGGTATGTTTTGATTTGTCAACCAGTCTTGGATATTTTTTTTTGTCCATGCATTGTTGGGCACTTTGTTCAATATCATGCTGTGATAAGGGGCGTTATCCAGTATAATCATAGATGGACTCTCCAATTTTTCTAATAACTGATGTTGAAACCATTTCAAAAAATTGTCCTGGTTCATCTCTCCATGGTAATCGCTCAATTTTGTTTTCGAAGAAAATATCGCTTCACTACTCTCAATAAACCCATTTTCATTTCCAGCATGTAATATAATGTATCTAAAATATATTAGTTTTAAATTTTATAGTGCAAATTGTGTAAAAGTACATACCTTTTACCATCTGTTTTAATAGCTTTCACGCTTTTTTGGTTTCCGTTTTGCCAAGAGCGACCTATGGTCCCATTTTGAAATATCCAAGTTTCATCGAGGAAGACAAACTGGTATAAGGCCTCAACCTTGGCTTGATTGTATTGCCTTAGAAATTCCACCCTTTTCAAAGCTATACTTGGTAGTTCCATGAGCCCTCGTCAAGAATTGTCCTTAAGCCACTTAAATCCAAGATCTCTAAGCAACCGCCTTAAAGACGTGGCACTACCATCAAATAATGCCCTATCTCTTAATCGAGACCATAAAGTTTGTATCGTAACTTGTTCTTCTGAAACCATGTGTAATATGACATTATAATTTAGTTAACAAATTAATGCAAATTTCTGATAAGTTATTATAATAAGATCTTACTTTTGTGATACATATTATAGATCACATCTCGAATGGCACTTGTATCCAATGTCGCTGTGTTGGTTACACGTTTAATATAACTCCGCTTTTTCTTGGGCGATTCTAAATTTGCATCACTTTTCACACCCTCGGAAATACGACTAACTGTCCTTAAACTAATTTTTAAAGCAGCAGCAACACGCTACAAAAAATGAAATAAAATTTCACTATTATTAATATACATTACATATAATTATTAGTAACCTACCTCTTGAACAGCATTTAAAGGCAACAAAGGCCCGTTGTTGTCCCTTTCTTGCTCAAAGTAGTGCATTAACGAGGCCACGAGTTCCTTACACCGACTATTTAACTGTTTGAGCATCTTTATATACCAAAATTGCCTTTATCTACTCGTAAAATGAATAATTTTGTTTTGAAACAAACAGTTGTTGATTTACAGTATGCGGGGCCAAAGGATTTATAAAGATTTGAAATGCCACAAATTGATTCAGTGTCAAAATTAATACAAATGTCAGTTCCCAGTTTAAATAAGTTTCAAGGTGACAATGTGTCAACGCTGCGAAATCGGTTTAGTGCGTTTACATGTCGATAAGTGATTGGAGCGTTTGCAAAACATTTTATTTCGCATAATGCGTCTAAATTTATCAGAAAGCAACTTATGTGATATTTTAATAACAATGTTTGTATGACTATTAACCATAATAAGAGAGTAATGACCATTTTACAATTTATATATCACATTAATATGAAACTGCAATAGAGCAATTGTTTGTGATAGAAACCTAGGCATTAGGTCGGGGAATTTTTATCGTGATGACGTGCACGCCACTTTGTTTGGCGTTGACTATACCTCGCAATACCAACCTACAAAAAAATAATAGAATAGATTAAGCCCACAGAGTTGACAAAGCTATAACATGCTCAAGCTGTCGGTCGCAGTCGTGGTGTCATGATCCCGACCACTGCATCGCCACGACTGGACGAATCGTGTATTAAATTTGTGTTGGTAATATGATAACCTACCGTTTTATGCTGATTATGGTTACATGTCGTTTTGTTGTACATTGTATAGCAAAAATTAGGTGAATCCAAATATATTATCAGAAATGGAGAAAAATGTTTTCCATACCGAAATCTTACAAAGGTGATTATAATCATGATAGTGAATTTTTGTGAATAATCTGTTGTACGTATATCAACACTAACCGATATTTTGTCATCAATTTGGTCGAGTTTTACTCGAGTCGTGTAGACGTGTTTTTGGTCTGTCTGTAAAAAGTGTATATATCAACGGTTATCATGTGATTATTGCAGTGAAACTGATATTGCTATTTAGCTTGTGGAAAATCCTCCAGGACAATAAAATCTGCGTAAGTTTGGTTGGTGTATTGGAGGGTTTTTTCTTATTTCCGTTGCATCAGTTAGAGTGCTATCAGAACACAAAAACTACATTCCTGGGTACAGTCTTTCTTACGAGATGTTTTTTTTTTTTTTTTTTTTTGTCATGTTCTTTGGAAATAATTTATCGCAATTAATAGTCTGAGGAAATTAGATCCACTTGTAAATATGGCATCTAATGCAGACTCCTGTGATTCCTGAAAAGACAACTTTGTAGTCAACGCAAAATACATTGAATGCAGTATATGTGAAGGCAGATATCATACAGTTTGCGTTTCGGTGAAGGACTCTTGGTTGAAGCTCTTTTCTGATTGGGTTAATTTTTCATGGAGTTGCGATAAATGTATTCTCAAATCCCAGTCACGTGAACAGCAACTGGCTTCTGAAATTGCAGCATTGAAAAAAGAGATCGAATTTTTAACACATGAGAAGAACTTGAGCTCTAAGATGATAGAGCAACTAGAATACACAAACAATCTCCAAAAATCAGTCATTGATTCGCATCAGCAACAAGCAGCTCATTCCACTATGAATTCAGTTATGCTACCTTCGAGATCAACTGCTTCCTCAACGCTAAGCTTTAGCGATGCAGTCAAAAAAATACCGAACAGGTCTTCTGTCTTGCTAATCAAGTCTGACAGTAACTCTGGCAATAACGATATTCTGCGGGATGTAACAACTTCAGTAAATCCTGCTAAAATTAATGTTTGCATTAATAACACGCACAAAATAAGAAATGGAATTGCAGTTCACTGTCAAGATGAGAAGTCACTTACGGTTCTTAAGAATAGTTTGGATAAGGAGCTTGGGTCCAAATATTCAATCATGGAAGCTAGAAAACTTAATCCACGTCTGCTAATCAAAAACGTTAACCTGGACGGTCTGGATTCGCCCGAATCGATAATCAATAATATTGTAGCCTTAAACAATATTGATGACACGCATCAGTCTGACATAAAATTCGTTACCAAACTTAAGCATTACGAGAGCACAAATATCGTCATAGAAGTATCTCCTGACCTTAGGAATATCTTGTTAGAGAAAAGTTTCCTGTTCATCGGATGGAAGAAATCGCCTGTTAGTGATCATATACGTGTTTTGAAGTGTTCTAAGTGTTGTGGTTATGGTCATACCGATATAAGCTGCAAATCTAATGTTGTATGTCCAAAATGCTCCCAAAATCATAAAGCTAAAGATTGTAAATCATCTGTTTTCCAATGCATAAATTGTCTTAATGTTAACAAAACCAGTAAGAAAGGTCTACCAACTGATCACGCGTCTTACTCTAGCTGTTGTACTGTTTTTAAAAGCCATTTTGATAATTTGAGAAGTAGAATTAACTATGGCTGACATTATTAAATTTGTTCACTCTAATACCAGATCAATTCTTCCTTCAATGGCGGACCTTTCTTTCATGGTTAATGATATGGATCTCGATGTAGTGGCTGTTACAGAAACATGGCTGTCTTCAGATATTCCAACAAGTTCAGTAGATATTACTGGTTATAACTTCTATCGTCGTGATCGTGGTAGTCGCGGAGGTGGGGTTGGCTGTTATGTCAAAAATCGTTTTTCATCAGAAATTCTATCGTTTGAGGAATATGATCGTACTTCTCTAGAAATGCTTTGGCTCAAGGTTCGTATTGGCCGTAAATGTATTGTAGTTGGTGTTATTTATAGACCGCCTCGGGGAAGTTTGGATGTTGCAGTAAACATATTAGATAATACGTTGTCCATCTTAGCACCGTCGAATGAATGCATCTTGGTACTTGGTGACCTCAACGTTAATTTCTTTATTGATAATAAGATTAATCAGTGCTTTCAATCTTATAGCCTGCACCAGTTATTGAACGAACCAACTCGAATAATTGATCATTCTTCAACGCTTTTAGATCCGGTTTTCTTCAACTGTGCACAAAGATGTTCCAAAGTGGGAACTTTCACTGTTAACTTTAGTGATCATCAGGCTGTATTCTGTCACATTTCGTGTAAAAACAATAAACCACCACCTAGACTAATTACATTTAGAGACTATCGCAATTTTGATCTAACCTCTTTTGACGATGACTTATTTAGCGTTAATTGGGCTGAAGTTATTTATATGGCTAATATCGATGAGAAAGTAAAATTTATTTCCGATAACATTGTAGGACTTTTTGACATACATGCACCACTAAAAACAGTGAGAGTGTCTAAGCCTCGTGCACCATGGCTCACAAACAATTTGAAAATGATAATGAAAGAACGAGATAAGGCTTTTCATAAATATAGACGGTCTCGAACGGATGCGAATCGAAATCATTACAATGAACTGAGAAATTTTACCAAAACTGCTACACGTGCAGAGAAATCAGGCTACCTTCAACATCTATCTCGACAAAGAAACTCTGCAGCTCTTTATAAAGCTCTTAAGTCATTTAGAATTCAGGATTCTAGTAATACTGACATTCCGGATGACTTAGCAGTTCCCAATGAAATAAATAACTATTTTACCAGTATATTCCAGAAAAGTGACGATGATTGCTCGGAAACTATCGAATTCTATAGCCATAACAAATTAAACCAAGATTTTCATTTTCAGTTCCGTCTTGTCGATATATCTACAGTATTGGATGCTATTCGCAGTATCAAGTCCAATTCTAGTGGTATTGATGGCATAACCATTGAGATGATTAAATTGTGTCTACCTGCTGTAGGAATATACATTTTGCACTTAATAAATTGTTGTTTAGAGCGCGGTGTTTTTCCAAGTGCTTGGAAGGAAACATTAGTGCAACCTCTTCCAAAGATTCCCAATCCCCAGGTTCCTGGTGATCTCCGACCTATTAGCTTGCTGTCAGCTCTATCAAAAATTCTAGAAAAAATAGTCTATATGCAGTTGAATGAGTATTTACTCGAACGCAGCATTTTGCCATTAAATCAATCAGGCTTTAGAAAGGGTCACAGTACCACTACCGCTTTGGCACGGGTTTGTGACGATGTACTAACAGCGGCGGATAGGCAAGAAGCAACTGCATTAGTCTTATTGGATTTCAGCAAGGCTTTTGACACCCTGAATCATAAGCTGTTAGTTTCTAAATGTAAATACATTGGGTGTGACGACTTGGTTCTGGAATGGATAGATTGCTATTTAAATGAACGACATCAATATGTCGTCATACAAAATAAACTTTCAGACAAAAGGCCGATTTGTTCCGGCGTGCCTCAGGGATCCATATTAGGTCCACTTTTATTCCTTATATACACCTTTGACATTTCCAACACCCTTCAACATTGTTCTAGTCAATCATATGCTGATGATATGCAGGTTTTTCATAATTTCTGTCCGAACAACTACCATTTAGCTAACAACCTTATCAATCAAGATCTGCAATACTTATGCACATATGCTGAAAAACATAATTTACGTCTAAACGCATCGAAATCGACAGCTATACTTTTTTGCTCCAAGAAAAAACGTACTTTCCTCAAATCAAAGTTAAATTTATCAATAAATAATAGTATCCTAATATTTTCCCATTCTGCAAAAAATTTAGGTTTGTACTTGGATGAAGATTTCAGATTTCAGGAGCATGTTGGCTATGTGTGTAAGTCTAGTTATTTTAGACTCAGGCTTCTATATGCAAGTAAAACTGTTTTAAATAGAAAAATTAAGAAAATGTTATGCGAGTCACTCATACTCAGTAAAATCGCTTACTGCAACATAGTTTATTATCCCTGTCTGGATGAAATCACAAAATACAGACTGCAAAAAATTCAAAACTCATGTAGTCGGTACATAAACAATTTAAGAAGGTACGATCATGTTTCTCACTCAATATCTTCAATGAATTGGTTGAAAATTTCTGATCTTTTCAAATACAACTTTGTTACATTTGTCGTAAAAATATTAAAAACTTCTGTTCCCGTTTATCTTATGCAAAAGCTTGTTCGTAGGAATTTAATTCACAATTTGAATACGCGCAACATTAATCTCCTGACAATGCCACAACATAGGACAGCCATTTTTCAACGGTCTTTTACGTATAATGCGGTGAAATTGATCAACTCTTTCGAACAATGTTTCATCAGCAACTTTTCTAAAAAAAAATATAAAAACTACTTATTGAGCTCTTAGGTTATTGTCCTCTCTTTGAATCGTACGTATTATGTTTTTTGTTCTAATCGTACGCATTATGTCATATTTATTAATTCTTCTTTTACTATTATTCTTCTTTTTCCTTTTCTTTTTCAGTTTTTTTTTTTTTTATTTTATTTTGAAGGTAGTAATAAGCATTGACATTTATGGTTAAGTATAAATGGCCATTGGCCAGACTTCGCCATTTGTAAGGATACAGAATTATGTATGTGTTACAATAAAGTCCATTGAATTGAATTGAATTGAATTGAATTTGAGAATGTAACAATATAATCAGGATACGAGGGATGTCTTTTAAGTTTTGCATATGGAAATAAAACAACACGGTAGGTAGTTTTAAATGACTTTATTGTTTTTCGAAGTATTCTCCACGATGATTAATACTGCATGCGCTCGAACCAATTTTCGAAGCACTTATTCCACTCGTTTGCTAGCAGATCCAAAACGGCATTTTTGAATGCGTCAACTGCTTCTTCTGGTGACTGGAACCTTTGACCACGCAGTCTGTTTTCAATTTTCGGGAAAGTAAAGAAATCGTTAGGACTATATGGAGAATGGTCCAATAATTCCACGTTTTTTCCCGTTAAATACTGCCTTGTTTTTTGGGCTGTGTGCGAGCTTGCATTGTCTTGGTGGAGGATGATTTTTCTTTCGGGGTCGATTTTTCGAAGCTAGATGATGACTTTTGGCAAACAAATGGTGATATATCAATCCGCAGTAACAGTTCTTTGCTCATTAAGAGGAATTGTTGCAATATGACCCGCTTTTGACACAGATGTCGCGACCATCTTTTTCGAAACACTTCGAGAACGGATGACTTTTGTTGGCTTTCCTTCACCTTGTATCACCCAAACAGCCGACTGTCGTTTATTTTCTGGTTTCATCACCACTAACAATGCTGTTTTTTGAATTTCCGGAATTGAAACGGTCAAGCGTTTTTTGACACCAATTAACCCTGGCTGCTTTCTGCTCTTCAGTCAACAGGTGGGGTATCCAACGAGAAACTGATTTTCTTACTCCTAATTCTTCATGTAAAATTTTTTGAATTGAGGTCTTTGAGATCTTCAAGGACGTCTCAATCTCGCGATATGTCACAAGTCTATCTTCAATGATAAGTTTGCGAACAGCATCGACGTTTTCCTGGGTGACTGCCGTTTTTTGTGCACCCACCCTGGGATCGTCCCTAAGACTCACCCGTCCACGTTTGAATTCTCCATACCAACGGGAAATTGTCGACTGATGTGGCGCTTCGTTGCCGAAAACAGACTCAGTAACTCAGCAAGGCATTCTCGTAGTAAAGCTTGACGAAGCCTCAGCTGCATATCAGAATTCTGATACTTCCTGACCAATTTGAAGGTACATCAGAACTGATGATTGTTACACTTTCGTCTTCCGACAGATAAATGTTTTCCGAAATTTTATATCAGTCCATCCCCGACTATCTTATGGATATTATGTTTAGGAATTTACTTTAAAATCAAAATCAGCAATTGTATAAGATTCTGCAATTCACTCGTGAGCTGGTCTTGTTTTTTACTATAAAATGTTTACACCTGGATCTCCTCAAGTAATTTTCATTTTCACATTTCTCGCGATTGTCATCGAAGTTTGCAACTTTGAACGCGCGTCAATATCTAGCCCATTACATTTGATTAGATTTTTTCTTAATGGCCATTCAAGGTACGATGTACACGTTGCAACGTGTACGTAAACAGATCCGCTTGTTTAAAAATCGGATCTCAACAAAGCGTACATTGCATTTTTGTAGATCAGTAATAATCTTGTCAATAAAAGTGAGCTTAGGGTCAGTGTTTCCAAGATGCCATTATAGCATCGTGAGTGTATTCAGATCGGTTTCCTTTATATTTCCATCACGCGACTTATAAGTTCGTTTGTCTCGTACAAACAGTTAGGGACACAAGACGTTCGAAGGAATATTCAGGTAAACACAGTTAAGGTCCTAGACTTAGAAAACTGTTAACACGCTTGTGTTTCTAAATTGGATAACGACAACTTTAAACAGGATTGATAAGTATCATGTGATAATGTGGTGCTAGAAATTTCTTATCATTTGGATGTTATATAAAATGTACCTCACAAAAAACACTTATTTGTGTAAGTGTGTCTGTTAGTCTGACTGGACTAGTAACTTGAAAACCAGTTGTACGAACCCCATAGACCTTATATCAGAAAAGCCTGTGAAGTCAAGCCGTCGTTGTTTGCCACCTTGGGACCTTAGCTCTTGTGTCATAGTGTCAGTTTTGAAGTCTGTAACCCAAAAGCCAGGCTATTTTAAGGAAAAAAGAGAAAGAAATGAGGGATGGAAGAGAGAGCAAAGAGGAAGAAGATAATATTTTAGGGAGCATTTAGGCATTGTTAAAATGACTTGACAGATTTTGATATGGTCTAAAAATACTTGATTTTTGTAAGGATTTCGTCAAAATACTCTAATTTTTGTCGTTCTAAGTCCACGGATTTTTTTTATTACAGGGCGAGCAGCAGCCTTCTGTGCTGCGAACTTGCTCGACTGTGTAGTCCTCTGACTCTCGCAACAAAGGGTTGCCTGTGAAAATGTGTATCAAAAACTGTCAAAATATACATGGAAAATTTTGAAAAAATCGTTCAATTTGCGTTCTTGACCACCCTGTATAAAAACCAACAAAGTGAAAAAGTAAGTAGACAAGGAGAATGTATGAAAACATAGAATTTTTCTGACGAAAGAAATCAGTTGCAGGCATGCGAGTTGTCAAAGTTGAATGTTTTTGATAGACTGCCCAATTATCAACAATTTGAAAATTGAACCCTATGTTGTGTTATATAAAATTGTTTCATTGGAAAGTCATATGTGGATCTACAATAAAATATTGGTATTTCTATTCATAAAAAGATATGTTTGGGTCCCAACATAATTATGGATCTCTCTATAAAAGAAATAGAATAGAATTTTTGTAGACTCTTTTAGATATCATGCGTAATAACTGAATTATCTATCAGGGGCCACACTCACGCTGTATATAAATGTGAACGTCTGTTCAGTCTGTCAGCATCACGTTGGACTACAATACAGAAAGACGTAAAAATACCCAAGGAAGGTTATAGACATTGATTTATCCGCGAACTCATCATCGATTTGGAATGAAATTTGATAACACTCAACTGTTACGGTAAGTACCAAAATCTCCACTGTCAGCATCAAGCCGGCAACAGCGCAGCCTGCCATCGGACACTCAACCTGTGACCGTCTAGCAATGCAGACCTTTTATTTTGCCCTAGCTGTTACCCAACCACTTCGTACGCTTGAAACTCTTACTAACATAAGACATTGTTTACAAGGAATGCTATGAACGTTTTGTAACTTTGATGGCATTTGTAAGCTGACAACCAACTTGCATGATTGTAAAATTTGGTGATTTTATTAGTGGCGCCATCTATACGTCTCGCAAGTGAAACCGCGAGACGAAAAGCTAGTACACAATAAAACCAGATGGAGCTCAGTAGATGTCTTATGGGGATTCGGTCTCAAAACTTCCAAAATCCGCCACCAGAGGCGCTGGCGTCGCGCGCCATTGACAGGTTGTTGGACGGAATCTGTAATCATGAGTTGGGGATTCTGCCGCTAGATGGCGCTGTCAAACCAAACGGAATCTGTGTGTCATTGGACACCTGTCATGCGTCATTGGGCATCTCACGCATAGATGGCGTTACACGTCATCTGTCATACGTCATTGGACACCTGTCATTGATGGGTTGGGCATCTCGCGCATAGATGGCGCCGATTTGTTTGGCGCTGTACAAACCAAACGGAATCTATGTGTCATTGGACAGCTGCCATTGATGGGTTGGGCATCTCGCGCATAGATGGCGCCGATGTCGCACCTGTCTGGTGTTGGCGTGGGCATTCAGAACGTGTATACAGGGGTGCATCGAAAAATAGCGGATCGATGGACCGACGGTATATCGTTAAATCGTATATAGCAAAGCGTGGTGGGCTCCTCTGGTCGGTCGGTCGGTCGGTCAGAATGTCTCATAACCTGTATACGATGTACTGTTATTATTATACAGGATGATACCGTTCAAAATGAAAATAGTATAATGGATATTTTATTGAAACATATAGTATATATAACAATAAGGTTGATTGGTGTGTGTGTGTGTGTGTGTGTGTGTGTGTGTGTGTGTGTGTATGAAATTTTCAGTTGCCTACAGTGTCGTCTGAATCAATATCGCTGTGTTCTGGTCGTGCAGGTAGATTGAATGATTGTTTTAAGTGATTCTTGTAATTATCAGGGAGTACTTTAGATGTTGATACTAATCGACTCAAATCATTCTTCGACAACTGATTTGGTTCATGACAGACAAGAATCAAATTATGTATTTCACGGTTCAGTTCTGGTTGTTTTTTAATTTTTCCCTAAAAGCCTCGTAATGAGCCTCCTCGCTGGTTATTTTTGGTTTTACCATTTTTTACCTCTTTTTGAACAAAACAATTGCTTGCGACTGGTTTGAATGATTGATACTGTAGCACTGCTAGTGCTGAATACGAAATAAACATAGCTTTCTGAAAAATGTATTTTTTTTAATGATATACAGATACAAGTTTAGATAACAGAGTTTTTAGTTGATGTAACAAATCCTCGCTGGGGCATGGTACTCCAAATAGAGTCCAATGAAATGGTCCGGTCGCAACAACTTTTCTTGTAAATTCATTAAATTTATAGTAAGTTGCGTGACGGAAAAAGTAAATATGGCCATCAATCCAACGAAATGCGAGAGAAATATCTTCAGGTAACCCAGGAAATATGTCTCTTATCCGTCCTCTGTTCAACACATCAGTAAAATCGTTAGAAAATTCTATATATGACATATTATTATAAAAGGTATAGGACCGTCCTGCGTTTGATTGAAAAATAGCATTGATTCGAGCCCTATCGGGTATATCATTTGAAAAATAATCAAGAAATTTAATGGTAGGGAATGATGCTGAGAAATATTTGTTTGGAGACACAATGGTAATCAAGTCACCGTTTGTTGATTGGAAAATATGTTGTAAAGTGTATTGACGTAATTCTGTAGGAACATAATCGACAAGAAGTTCAGGCTGAGATGGGATAATCATTTCGTTTAAGTCTAGTTTCCATATAAACATATCATGTGCAATATATAATCGGTAATTTGAAAACTCTGGAGCAATGGCTAAAAACATAAAATCTGGAATAATATCACACAAATTTTTGAGGATCGGCTGCTTACGAGTTGTAGATCTTATAGTTGTTGTTGTTGTTTTTGGTATTGCTGATGCGGTGGTAGACGTTGGGATTGAATCATATTTGTTTTTTCTTCCATATAGATATTGTACTGCATTTATATCATCAACATCTAGACCACGAATCTCATGCTGATAGAAGGCAAACATAATAGCATTCGGAGAAGCACTATGTGCTATGCCGAGAGCATGTCCAATTTCATGAACCAACACCATAAGAAAACTAGTTTGATTTTTGGGTATATTAGGATTATTTCCAAAATACCAGTGTTCATTTATATCTAAATGGATTTCTCTACAGGTGCCGCTAGAGTCAGGAAAGTATGCATGTCCTAAAACGCCGCCAGCATCATCTAATGTCAATGGACATTCATCATTACCCATACAGTTTGCTCTAAAATAATGAGTCTTGCTAACCATGGTTATAGTAATATCAGGAGGATATAGAGTGGGATTGGTAACCATTGTAAATGTTAAGTTTGAAACATTTTGCCACATCTGAAAAGCCATTTCTGCATCTTTTTGGGCCGCAGGTGTGTTTCGAGGGAAATACCATTTCAGGTCATGTTTCCGAAATGGAAAACTTGCTCTAAATTCAGCATCACTGTATTGACAACGCGGACGATTCATAAATTCAATTGTTGCATTATTCAACAATCCATCCACTGGTAAATTATACTTTTCTTGCAAGTTAGTTAGCAAAGTAGAGAGATCTGTTGTATTATCGATGATATGTTCATATTGAGTTAGGTATACTATAGCGTCTTTTTCGGAGAAATCGTTGCAAAGCACGTATGTGAAAGTTGAAATAAAAAATAATACGTCTACCCACATCAACATCTTGATAGAGAATGATGTCAAAAATCTCAGATAGCAAATATAAATTCGTTTACCCCCCAATCAAAATCTTGACTGAAAAAAAATTAGGCAGCAAATATACAATAATCATACACGAATTTCTATATTTCTAAAATTCTACTCTCATGTGCAACTTGTAATTGGAATTTCCGCCGGACAAACGATACATTCATGTATTACTAAGAAATTATATAAAAAATACTGCAACCGCAATGAATGTTGTTTTCTCGATACAATTATCTCATGCACGCGTGTGTCATCTCAACTACGTACTTATATTGAGCGAGCGCATGCAGTTTTCTCGATAAAAATGGTACTGAGAATATGATGCATATAATATGCATATTTACGATACAATTATCTCATGCACGCGTGTGTCATCTCTACTACGTACTTATATTGAGCGAGCGCATGCAATAGTCATCATTGTTTCACACTTAACGCACAACGCTGCAAGCTGCAACAACGACCGCAGTACAATTAGTGCTTCGAGAGAGACGAGAGAGCGAAAATTTTAAAAAAAGTAAGTGCTATTTTATTTAATATTTTTCTTTTTTATGTCTCTAAATGCAACTGTTTTTTTTTTTCGTGTTATGCTTCAAAATAGTTAGACGACTCAATTTTTTTTATAGATGGATTTATCAAAAATTAATGCTGCGTCTTCGATTGTAGACCGCAAACCTATCAGAAAATTAAAGGACCTACCAGTCGGGACACCATTTGCAATCCAAGCAGCTAAAGTGGTCAAGTCGAAATTTGGGGAAGCCGTGCTACTAGATTTAGGACCGGAAGTGCTATTTCTACCACAGCGGGTGACGGAAACGTACCAGCCGGTCATCGACGAACTTTTTCACGGAAAATACTCGATCATCTTCCAAGGGGAAGTGGACGTAGGGAAAAGCCGACCGCTAGCATCATTCAAAATAGTGGAAAATTAACAAAGCAGAGAACAGGAGGAGGACAGGGTGAGCATTTTTATATATTTTTGAGTAATGTGTTTGCTTGAAAAAAAAATGTCGTCTTTTCAAATGTCTTCAAATAAGGTTAAAAAGATCATCAAACAAACAGACGGTGTTCTACTATCAATTGTTAGTCTACGGAAAATTTTATTTGATAATTTTACAATCAGAGACGCGGAAGTGTGGCTGAAACGAATAGAAAAACAAATTAGATTATGTAAACGGGTAATTCGTAGTAGAAGGCAAAATAAATTATCTGTAGGGACCTGTAGAAAAGTAGAAACAAATTTGGGGCATTTTAAACATTTTAGAAAGTTGATTTTAACTAGACATATTGGGGCAGGACTTCACTTAACATTGGGTCAGAGGGTTAGATGGGAAAATGTAGAATCGAGCTTTCAAAGTAGAATAAAAACCGGTTCCATAGCTAATTTGCGTCATAAGGACTTGAATCAATTTTTAGCAGATTGTGTAGTTGTTTTTAAAAGGAAAATTAGGAATATTTTGAACACCCATTGTGCGCTCAAAGTAAATACAACATTTTGCGGGGAGTTTATTAGGAAATCGGGGGATAATGAAATTTTGGGAATTAAATATATTAATACTAAAAATCATATTATTGATACATCAACTCAAATAGACGAGTGGTTTAAGATATATGTTAAAGATAAACTTTTAAACGAATTATCGGAATTTGCTGAAAAAGATTCGGGATTTGCGTTAAATAAAATTATTTCCTTAGTTGTTAATATCAGTAAATATCAATTGGGAAACGGTTCATCTTATATTAGACTACCAGAACCGATTATAAGGAAAAATGCTTGTATAAACATTAAAAATATAGATCAAAATTGCTTTTACTGGGCCATTGTAAGCGCTCTTCGGACTCCTAGCAATAAAAGACATGCAGAACTAACCTCCTCATATCCACACTTTACTGACGTTTTACAAACAGAAAATTTAGATAGTCCTATGCTGCTAACAAAAATTTCAAAATTTGAAAAGATGAATAACATTTCAGTCAATGTTTACGCTTTAGAATTGATCGAAACAGAAAAAAAATCATTTTACATAGTAGTACCAGCAAGATTAACGGAAAATAAACGGGATACGCATGTTAATTTACTTTTAGCTCAAAATAAATATTATCCGCGTTTAAATGATTATGATGCTCCTCCACCAGCGCCAGCAAATGAAGATAATGATTCAATCGATGAAATTAAATATCACTATTGTTGGATTAAAAATCTTTCGCGTCTTATTAGTAGCCAGTTAAATAAACATCGTGAGAAAAAATTTATTTGCGATAGATGTCTGAACTATTTCCATCAGCAAAATAAATTAGTTGAACATGAAAAACTGTGTTCTAAATTTAATAAATATAAAATTAACCTTCCTAAAGAGAGCTGCGTTGAATTTAAAAACTTTACATACCAACAAAATACTCCTTTTGTTGTTTATGCAGATTTTGAATGTCAATTAGAAAATCATAAAGAAAGTAGCGTCGTAAATTTAACTAAAACCATAAAATATCAAAAACACGTTCCGTATAGTGCTGGTTTCTATGTAAAATGCAGCTATGATGATAGCCTTTCTTATTTCGAGAGCTTTCGAGGTGCAGATTGTATGGATTGGTTTGCAAATCGTATGGCTGGTGTTGCGCAATTTGTAAACTCAAAAATAAAAACAAGCGTACCTATGATTGAAAAATTAGACACATGTAAGGCAACATCATGTCATATTTGCGGTAAGAGATTTTCAAAAACAAAAAGAGACATAATCGTTAGAGATCACAACCATTTCAGTGGAGAGTTCAGAGGTTACGCACACCAAGCATGCAATCTGAACTTTAGAAAATTGTTTGTTGTGCCGGTTATATTCCATAATTTAAGTGGGTACGATAGTCACTTTATGATTTCGAATTTATGTAAAAAAGGTCGCTTAAGTCTACTTCCCATCAACAAAGATAAATACATCTCCTTTACGCTGCACTCAGATGAAAATAACATTAAATTGCGGTTTATAGACTCTTTCCGATTTATGGGGGCGTCTCTTGATGAATTAGCTTCAATTTTAGCAGAATCAGAAAAGAAAATTTTACAAAGGGAATTTCAAAATTTAGATGAAGATAAATTCAAATTATTAACACAGAAAGGAGTTTTCTGTTACGATTACATTGATTCGTTGAAAAAATTAAATGAAACGACTTTGCCCCCAATTGAAAAATTTTACAATAAATTAAACGATGAAAGTGTAAGTGACGAGAAGTATGCTCATGCGCAATCTGTTTGGCAACAGTTTAACATTAAAACATTAGGAGAGTATTCTGATATATATTTAAAAACAGATATTCTGCTTCTTGCCGACGTTTTTGAGCAATTGCGTAAAAATGTTTCTCCACCTATGGTCTGGATCCTGCGTGGTACTATACAATGCCCGGATATACGTGGGACTGTATGCTCAAATACACTGGGTGTAAGTTAGAACTACTAAAGGATCTAGATATGGTGATGTTTTACGAAAATGCTATAAGAGGTGGAATTTCGGTGTGTAGCAACCGATTTTCGGAGGCCAACAATAAATATATGCCCGAATATGATCCTGAAAAGCCGTCCAAGTACCTTATGTACCTGGATGTGAATAGCTTATATGGGAATGCTATGCAGCAACCCTTACCCTACGGAGGGTTCAAATGGGTAGATGATGTAACATCGTTTGATGTGATGTCAATACCCGACGACTCTGACGTAGGGTACGTGCTACAAGTCGATCTATCGTACCCACAAGAACTGCACGATAAACACAAAGATTTTCCGTTTGCGGCAGAACGTAGCGTACCACCCAGCGACGGCGGGGTAAAATTGCCGAAATTAATGGCAACACTTACGGATAAAAAAGAGTACACGGTTCACTATAAAAATTTAAAACAAATGCTAGCTAATGGGTTAAAGTTAACGAAAATCCATAAAATTTTACAATTTAAACAAGCAGCCTGGCTGAAACCCTACATCGAGTTGAATACTCGATGTAGAGCTGCAGCCCGGAATGATTTCGAAAAAAATCTTTTTAAATTAATGAATAATGCAGTATTCGGTAAGACCATGGAAAATATACGTAAGCACCGCGTATGTAAAATCGTTAAATCTTGGGGTGGTCGCTATGGGCAGCAAACTTGATTTCGAGTTTTCGGTTCCACAGTCGCACAATTTTAGAGGAAAATCTGGTGGTTATCGAATTGAACAAGGCTGAAATAACGTTTAACAAACCTCTGTATGTAGGGCAGGCAATTCTAGACCTATCGAAACTAGTCATGTACGATTTTCATTACACCTATATGCTACCAAAAATGGGTGCAGAAAGGTGTAAGCTCATGTACATGGACACAGACAGTTTTATCTACGAATTGCAATGTGAGGATGCATATGAGGAGATCATTAAAGCTGATTCCAGTAAATTTGATACTTCGGATTATCCTGAAAATAACATATATAAAATACTGCGTAAGAACAAAAAGGTGCCGGGTCTAATGAAAGATGAAAATAACGGTAAAATTATGACACATTTTGTTGGACTTCGA